TCCACAATAGCATTTCATTTTTTTATTAAGGGTTTTTTGTTGTTATTTTAACACGGCTGGTAATTGCGACGAAGGGCCTATTAAGATTCGACACTAGGTGTCGCGTCGTGTCACGACAGACGCCCGAAAATAAGTTAATTTTTCAACATTCTGTATTTATTTATTGTTTATACAGACTCACTCAAGGCATGGCGTCTCCACTTAATATGACCTCGTTCATTTTTTCAGTAAAGCGAGTCACGTTCTGCCTTATCATCACATACTGCCAATATTAACCACGTTCGTATCGATTACGTAATGCGTGAATGTTTCGTCATGACAACAATTCTGAAATATCATCGGCCATAGTTAACAATATACACTTTATATACACCACAAAACTTGCCCCAAATTGTCAGAGTATAAAGAACACATAAAAAAAGGCTCACGTTCAACAGTTTTTTTGCGAGGAGAAAAAACAAAAACGTGTTATTAACATACAGAGTGCATGAATTGGGCGTGGTTGGGTTGCCATGGTTACTACTGGGTTTAGGATAAATCAGTGTGAATTACGCATACAACGAAATGCGCTGCGACGTTGGTTTAAATTATGACTTTAAACGTTTTCGAGAAGAACATACAAAGAACAGTTTGCCCAAACAACAATAGACAGAGAAACGGTGATACTGTGATCAAAAACACAGCGTTATTCTATTTTAATCGTGATTCGTATTTAATTCTCACGGGAAATGAATGCAATTCTATTAGGCGCTGCGTAAATAGATCTATAACAATTTTAGATAAAATTACAATCGGAAAATATAGACGTGCTAAGAGCGGAGAGAGAAAACAAGGGAGCGGAAGTTGTAACATTTTATTATAAATCCCACTAACTATGATAGCGTTAGATTCCTTATATTGGATCTTAGCAAAGAGCTTTGTTCCAGCCTATTTCTTATTCATTGCTTTGCACAATACTGTATTTAAGAGAAAAAAAAACACCTCTCAACAGAGCAGACTACGTTACTAACTAGATAACGAAGTTGAAGTAGAGTGAATCATGTCAAATCATGACGCCTATCGGCTTTTATCGTTCTAGTTTGGAATGTAAGTACGTTTGACAAACCCTACTTTATTGTCTGAATTATAATTGAATAACTCAAAGTCAGTCTGTTGCGCGGAATAAAAAGAGAGAAAATATGGACGACTGAAGTGGATGCCTTTTGGTCTTTGTGATGAGATACGCGTGCGTGGGAGGAAGAGGAAGGAGGAGAGGGGGTTATTTTGAATGCTTACGGCCATACTGAAATCAATCACGGTTATGTTCTACTTGCAGTTGAGGAGCAGATTAAATTGCACATGTTTATTTTTCGCCTGATCTTTCATCTATCACAACTGTTGGATAGTGTATCTCTGCTAGTAATCTCAATGGCAGTATTATGTTCTTCACTCGCGGCGAAATCATGCGTCCGTTCGCTAAATAACGGAATATACTGTATTTGAATATTTTGTATAATTAATGTTGCTGACGCTGATTGAATAATGTCGTAGTATATAATCTCTGACAGTGCTTATCGCCAAGCCTGGCGATAACACCACTTTGTGGTTACTTGTCACAGGTGTTCCATAATCTTGATTTCAAGTTGTGGAGTTTGTACAAAAATTAGCAGATTTACACTTTGACAATGTTTTGAAAAATTCCAAACATAATTAAGTAAAGGGTGGTAATTAATAACTGGAGTTCTACAAATTCGATTTTGCCAATTTGTATTCAAAATGGCCGCCATTTATAGGCTTTATGAAGCTACAAGGTTATACAGACCAGTAAATAAATATAATTTTCATGAAAACGAGTTCGGTGTCCCATTGTTTTCTTTGGCTCATTCTAAGTTATTGGTACTTTACACAAAGAACAAGAAACATAATTAGTCGATCAAATTGAAAATACTATGAAATTTCAGGGAATGCCCTTGGTACTCGTAACTGTTAAGTCATTTCGTTAACAATGTGATTACACATTTGTTTTCACAGATACAATTACATGATATATCTACGCAAATATCTTACAACCAAGATGGTATTTTACTCTCGGCAATGAACTTCACGTAAACTTATAGAGGTATATTTAACGCATTTAATATTGGATTATGATCGCAGTCAATGTTATTTTCATAAATATTTGCAATTCATTCTCCTCTATTTTTTCTTCGAGTGATATTTATTTAGGAAACTCCTTTTGATTATTGCAAGTAGTCGTCCTACGTGTAGACGCAGACAACTCTAATATTAGTTGTCTGAGGTGTAGATTAGTGTATATATTTTTCATCCAATGAAGCGCGTGTGTAAACAACTTCCTAGCGTTTGTTGCCTATAGATTTTCTCATAGTCAGTTCAATTGAACTTTTCGTAAAGATCCTTGCATTTTACTTGAGGTTATATCGACCCACTCATTGATTATAAGGAACGATCCCCCTGAAGTAAGCACGAATTATTTGAATACAACCACAGTCGTCGTGATTAACACTATAGTTGTGATCGGAAACAATTACGAACACCTGGAGAACTTAACACCGTCGCGCTGATTTGGTGGCTGGCTGGCTGCGAAGTCATGTATTGTATGCATAGTAGGTTTGGCGGAAATGCGTTTTTTGTTGAAAAAGTTAATGTCATTTAAAAACAAGTTCATTATATTATAATTGAAGTTGAACTGAAATTACAAGAATTGTAAAACCGCCATTGTCTTTTCTTCTTATCAGTTTTTATATCTTCATTTTGTTGAATAATTAATTTTTGTGTACTTGCGCGTCTGGTTTGAAGAGGACTTTTGCATTAAACTATGGCCCAATGTACTCGCTCAAGGATTACGGTAAAAAAGAAGGAATTCTTTGTTTCTTGCACAAACAACAAAAGCATGTTATGCAAATTACCCATCTATTAATCAAATACTCAATACATTAAACCATTAACACCTACGTAATCTCATTAAACTTTTATTAAGCAAAAAAAAAATAATAACACAGACTACATAAATGTTTTTATTTAAAAAAAAGAAAAAAAGATGACACCTTTCATAGACTCCAAGTAGATGCAACTAGTAACGATTGAAAAATGAAATAAGAAACAGGGCTTCTCTGTAACATCTTAAAGAGCGGTGGTTGTGTAAACAAACAATGTAATTTACATGCATTGCCTACTTCGCTTTGAACAGGGTGCGACGACCACTGCCCTTTAAGTCAGAATAACAAATGCATGCAAGTTGACTATTGGATAAAAGTGCCTCATTCGTCACACACAGTACATTTAAATATTGTGTAAACGTTTTTTTTTATACAATTTGGACACAACACATAACAATTGAATACACTGCAGTGTGGGAACTTTGACGCTAATCAAGCTATAGTCAATCATGTGCTATTGGAAATCAATATCGATTATCACTCTTCGTTTAAAACGTCTTGTTTTGTTTTCAAACCGAAAATGACAATGGTCACATGGTTATTATATCTGGCAACTGACACAAATTCTCCCCGACCTTTACATAAGTGAACTTATAGAGGTATATTTAACGCATTGGACACCACACAAATGTTACCCTGTGAGTTCTAAGTTGAGAAACACACAGCCCTGTGGCACAGGTGTTAAATATTTAATAACTTTTCTAAAAAAAAATACGACGACGACGACAACAAAAAACAATATATTGATGAATAATAGCAGATGGTGAAAACAATACAGTAAACCTGAGTCCTCGCCACCTCCTACCCTTGCTGATTGCAATTTCATTATCAGCACATAGGTTTATGACAAATATCCACAATAACTGAGCCTGTCAATAAAACATGGTGGTGCACCACTATGATAAACAAGATTCAATATGTATAGATTTACAACTAATAATACAGACCCAGCAAGGATTGATGAATAATCAGTTGTTTGCTAGAGAAGTACACGATAACTGTGATTCAGTCATTAATCATAAAAAAAACAAAAAAACAAGACAGGTGATGTCATATCAGTGTCGCTATAATATGGATTTGTCATGCATAACACTTATGTTTGCGTGGAAATTCAATACAAAAGATTTCCTTTCACAATTAATCTAGTATTTTTATGAATTATTTTTTTTCAAGTTCAAGTAAAGGTTAACTTTCGGCAAGTAGAGATATTTAGCAACTGTTACAAACGTATCACGAATGACGCAGAAACGCGACAACCGCCAAGATGTGACAAGCAGACTGAGTAATGAAGAGCAAAATGAGAAATCGATTACGTCCAATAAAAAATGATTATAATTCAGCGCATGTGAGCAAAGGAAAGCATTCGTTCCAACAGATTGGTTGTACAACACATTACCCATAATGCTTTGTTTTAATGGACTAAAGTCTTGTAGCCGTAATAATGAGCGGCCTTCATAGGCAAATCGGTGGCGAAATTGACACAAAGTCAAAACCGATGACTGGCTAATATAACAGCAACTAGCTATTAAAAAGTCCACAAGCAACATAACCCACATGGCAATTCGAAGGAAGCGCTTCCCCTCGCTACCGACACTCTAATAGAGAGACAAGATGAAACGACATTAATCGCAGTGGGCTGGTCGTTATCTGCTATAAAAGTCACCTATAATTACTTTATGCGTCATTACCCCGATAGTATAAAAGAACAACTGTCATGATCAAAAGAACAAATTAGAATCTTCAAAAATGTCATTTTGAAATGAGCACAAAACTCACTTGAAATATACAAGGGCAGTGTAATTTTCTTGAGGGAATGTAAACAAAAATTGATTTTTTTTTTAAATATATTTGATACAAAATGAGTCTCGGTCCCCAAAGGAGTGCGACTGGTACAATTAAATTACAAAGTAAGAATTAAATTAACCGTGACTTAAAGAGACCATACCATTAACAAATAACAAGGTCAAAGATCAATTTACATTATAAAAAACAAAAGAACATCTAAATAAGAAGAAACAAAGAAAGAGAGAACATAAAACAGAAATAAGATGTTTCTAAAATTACTAATTCCTATTTTTTTTTTTTCATTTTCAGAAAGTTTATTCTTATAAAACAGACAGCTGATCAGATTTACTGTCTCACTGATGTACTTGACTTTGACGTTGATGATGTCACCATTCATCGCTATGGCAATCTTCAGCCAACAAAAATGGACAGATGCGTTAATTACTGAAGTTCAATTGTAGATGAAATTGAATCTGTAATGAAATAATACCAGGAAAGAAGATTATTCTTTAAATGTTATAATTATATTAGTGAATCGTCGTTGAAGGAAGGAGTCACTTCCTGTCATGACGAAGAATGTTTGGTAATCCTTTAACGCACAAGAACAGCATAATCTTATGATATCTGGCCCTAGCAACGTTACAAATTAGTGTCATAATCATTAAAACGGCTGCTGCAGATGGAATGAAACCACCCAACTTTCTGTGTACATTTTTTGTAGTAAGTTTGTTTGTTTTTTTCATTCTAATCACGTTTGCAACAGCTTTTCCTGGCACACCTAAGATACAAATAAATAGCTTTCCTTGTACATGAGAAGTCTTTTTTTTTTTTTTATTAAGTTTACAGATATTGATTCATTTATTATGCAAGCCAGTACCCAACCAACGATATGTAATTTACATAACGGTTACTTCAAACTTCGCACACTGTTGAACTTCTTGGGGGACCAGATGTGTATCGCATGAAATAATCATCATCACACAGTAATAGAATAGTTGAATAACTATTGAGCAGTGTTATAAGAAAGTCCCTGTCCCTCCAACCCCTTACACTTGTAGTTTGAATCATAAAATTGTTGTTTGGTACAAGCGTGATAAATTTATAAATTACGTTGAAATGAACCAAGAATGTCAACATTGAGTTGTTGATTTCAAAAGTACATGATTCAGACATGTTGACTTTTCTCACCTATGTTTCACCTTTCTTTTTTCAAAAATTATGAATAAAAAATGACCAATTTTGTCCATTTTGTTCACAAATTATGAACAAACTTGAGAAAAATAAAATATATTTGCATTGACACTGAGTTAGCTGTTGGAGGGGTAAGGTGGGGGTCTGGTGTTGGAGGGGTGAGGTGGGGGTCTGGTGATGAATCAAAACATATTGGTTCTGCATAACCAATATTAAAGCTAATTCAATAACAGCACAATATCAACCCACTAATCCTTTTCATCGCTTAATTCCATATTCAAAAATACGATATTTTAAAATTTTTGGATGGTTAATAATAATGAGAAATAAAATGGCATTTTTACATTAACAATAACTTTATCTATATAATTCACATTGATACCAAAACAGAGATGAAAAAGATAGGTTTGGAAGCAACAGAAAGTTGATTTGCAGCGGAAATTGCCAAAGACATCTGTTCCACTGACTCAATCTCCGTTTCTCGTCTTTTCCATGGATACATTATCAGGGAACCAATCAGTAGTAGTACACTGGAATATTAATCAATACTGACAAAATCTCTCACATATAGATTTCTTTTAACGAAAAAAAAAATATTTTATTGTCTCGTAAGACCATTGTCAATGCAAACTTTATACAGTAGTGTAAATAAAAAAAAACAAAAAAAACTGCATTTGACAGATTATCTATTGCTCTATTTATTTGTGAAGTTGAAAGGAAAGTTCCTTTTAATGGCGATATCTCAATATTCCATATTTCTCAAAAAAAAAAAAAAAAAAAAAATTGGCTTGTGGCAATACAAAACTCTGCTTGCCGACTGATTAAAAATTGGCAGTCAATCATTTGGGATATATTATTGAGTTGATACTCTTAAAATAAACATTGATTATGTAATTTTCTGTTACAATCAATCCCAATGGTTGTAAAATTAATTTGGTTGAAGAACAACCCAATCAGAAACACTGTTATATCAGCTCTGTTTGTTTTACCATGTGTGAATTTCTAGTCACTCATAGTAGCATCAGTGTAAATGCGTACAATAACCTTTGATGAGAGACTCCAGTTTTATAATTAGTAGTTACAACTAGCATCAGCTCAGCTAAAAAAAAAACTTTCATTTTAGAGTGATCCTTGGTTTATATAGCAGTCACAGGAAATAATCACGATGAATCATAAAAAACAGTGAACCTTACACGAAATGAGAGGAAAAACAATCAATAAAAGTCAGTGAGAAGTACAGGAAGTCGGTGTGCGAGTAATCGGTGCGATGCCTAAAAAGGGATGCATTTCCTCGCACAGCGCAAGGATCAGAAGTTTTGAGTTGATTTCCTAACATGAGCATCGCATGTCAGATTTCATGCTCAATAGAACAATTTTGTGTTCATTTTGCAGAAATCAACAGCATCGGTATGATTCATATTGCCGATGCAAACGCTCCTATCTGTCATGTTGATGTTTCTGCCATGTGGACTTTTACACCGTGGAACCAGTGCTATCTATCCCTCTGGAATTGCACTTTTATCTGCTAGCTGAGTCCCAAAGGAGTTTGTACAAAGATGCTGTTATTTCCACTCGCCCCACCGGAATAGCATTGGGCAATTCATGGCATTTCGGCCCCTGTCAGAATGAGGTTCTGCCACCTGGGGGACTAAAATCCTTTTCAATATTTTATTTTTTTGAATATAGGACAACGATGCTCTGTGACATTGGCAAACACCCTCAAGGAGAAGGGGGAGGAAAGAAACGAGGGAATTAACAGTTTTGAGGCAAAAAACCTTGAAAATATACCTGGGAAGGAAAATCAATGTAAGCATCAGGGAAGTGAGGTGTGAAAATTACACACTGTTTCCTGGTGAATTGCTCAGACTTGTGTTGACCTATGAACCCAAGTCACATGATTTTGATGGAAGTATCACTTTAAATTTTACCATCAATAAAAAAAAAAATATATGGCTTTTTAGCAACGACACCAGCCATAGCGTAGCATAGTCTAGTACCAGCATTGATTGTACAACGACAGGCCATTGTTTCAGATGCGCGTGTACTGCAAACAATTATGGAGAGTGAGCAGGGTGGATTATACAAGGATGAGATGGTCAGCACAAAGGGAGATGGAACAATGATACAGCATGTACTACAGAGATACATATGGCTGAAAAAGGATACAAGTTAGCACACATCATAGATAAATGTTTGTAATACACTCTGTACAGAAATACTCTCCAAACCCACCCGCGCACACACACACACACATTTATAAGGATATTTCTAAACTATTCGATGATTTTTAATGAATAAAGCAGACATTGAAGTACTGAAATCAATCCTACCACAATGAGGGACAATTAATTGTAAAGTAACACTCTAGACAAAAAAATCTTTTCTTTGAGGTTAACAGTTGCCTGCTCATGTCTCTCAATTCGACAGTGACCTTTCAAAGTTGTAAACAAACAAGAATTTTTTTTATGGAAAATTTTGATCCAGGAAGACCTGGTGGACAATAGGAATTTACGTGGGACAAACTTATTACAGAAAAAAAATACATGAAAAAATATTGCACAAATATTGAAAATTGAAAGGGTTTATTATATATGGGTTATTATATGGGAGAGAAAGATGCAGTTTTTTTTTTTTTTTTTTTTTTTTTTTACAAATTTGAATATTTGCCATTAAAAAAATACGTCCTGCACACTAAACAGCGCATTTCAGAAGTAGTTTTTATGCAATTATCGTAAGATCTTATTTTCAGAATTTTTTTTTTTACCAAAATTTTTTAGTACGAAAATAAAATTGTATGTATTAATATAAAAAAGAATTAATGTGAGGTACAAACGTGAATAAAGAAACAAACAACAAAATTTGAAGAAAGGAAAATCCTTTGATTAGCTTGATATTCTGAAGTGCTCTTGTGATACAAAACACCTTGTACTTCATGTAATGTTTGTTGTGCCAATTTTGAATGAACACTTTTCAATACACTTGGGTTCCGATGACAAATGTGATTGTACACTGGTAAAGAAATGCCCTTTAAGGAGGGACCACAAGCATCACATAGTGCGATAAGAGAATAACTGCAAGAGAGTATTTCTCTGTGTGTGTGGATCCATGCTGTTTCCACCGCAGATGTTTGCTTTGTTTTCTGACAACACCCTACTTCTGTCCTATAACTTCGGAAAATTGATTTTACCACTTTTTTTTTTTTTTAGGCTATTCAACGTTATGCAAAAAGACTGGTATTGCGTTTTTACTTGATGTGTTGGCACGGCGACGAGGATGCGGCGAAAATTAAATGATACGATAGAGAGAAGAAGGGATTACAGAATTATGGTTAACAGTTCTAAAATAAAGTTTTATTGTTTCGGCGGGGAACTTTTATGCTTTTATTGTTTGCAACATGCAAGGTAAATCACTCACCGTGGAGCGGTTTTAATCTTACGGAACTGAAATACATATATCATTGCGGAGGAACAGACGTTGAGAATATATCGCAGAATGATGGGAGAGGGAGAAAAGTATGGGGGGGGGGGGGTAGAAGGCTTAATGAGAGAAGAAATAATGCAGGAATATATATTTTCTGTTTTTTAAACAAATCAGAAAATGAATAATTCAACATGGAGATTTCAGCCAATATTTAAAATCGAATAATTTATGGAAATTTGTGGAAAGTCCCTTGTGTAGATGTGGCAAGAAATCTATATTAAAAATATTCACATATTTATAACAGTATGAAAATACTCAACATAAATCATAACGGGGAAAAAATGAATTTAATTTTACGCACTCGCACAGACGCGCAGTTGAGAAAGCGGGATGATTTAAGACGCAAGTGAAGCATTCTTCAAAACATTTTCATTTTATTTCTATTTTCCCTACAGTGAGACGAAAAAATCTAATAATCTCCCTTTCTTGACTCGTAACATACCATCAGGCTTCCCTTCTCATGGGTGACTCATATTTTACAAGATTGTATTAATTTAAATACAACATAAATACAGTTCCTAAGTGCATAGTAACTGTGAGTAAGCCGGAGCATTTGCAAATAAATTTACGACGTATATCTGTACGTATAATTAGGACCCGCGTTAACCGTCACTCTGCATACTGGTTATTAAAACGCAACAGTCGCCGCTGAGCACGTGTTCGAATTTAGTGTAAACAAACAATGTATTTTACTGACATGATGCAGGGCCATGGCCGTGATGTTTTAATTGAGGGGCCGTCATTTGCGAGGATAAGTCTGTGCTCCCTTTGGTGATAAACAAACTGAGACGTATTTTTCAAT